CGAGTTTGCGTGCGGGCGATGCGAGCTCACGTGCAGACGCGGCGCATGCATGCATGAGTGTGTAGCTAGGGGCGCTTAATTGATTGCCTAGCTTGCCCCGTCGACCACACCACACATCAGTCGCCATGGCACGACGACGTCGTTTGCTAGCTGTTGCTGAAGCCTCGTCCATGGACAACATATCGACGCTAGCTACTAATCATAATCAGCACAGTAGTACAGCCACTACCGGAAACGGTGGCTTTGCCGTATGCCACAGGCACTCGGTAAGCCCATAAAACACTCGGCAAAGGATTTATCGAGTGTAACACTCGGTAAATAGCACACGACATCTACAGTGTCGACAAACGTCTCTTTGCCGAGTGTTTTTTATCGGACACTCGGCAAATACTTTATCGAGAACTGAAACCAACGCTCAGCGAAAAAAAGTAACGCGACGGCGCGAAGATGGTCACAGCGCGTTTGCCGAGTGTCCCGGACCTGACACTCGGCAAACCTGCCATCTTTGTCGAGTGTCAAATCCCAGACACTCGGCAAACCTGAATTCTTTGCCGAGTGTCAAATACTGGACACTCGGCAAAGATTGAGCCCAGAACGTAGAAATGTTGGCTTGTTTGCCGAGTGTCCAGTATCTGACACTCGGCAAACATGCCTTCTTTGCCGAGTGTTAAATCTCGGGCACTCGACAAACCTTTCTTCTTTGCCGAGTGTCAAATACTAGAATACTCGGCAAAGACTGCCCCAGAACGTACAAATGTTGGCTTCTTTGCCGAGTGTCACAGTGCAGACACTCGGCAAAGAAGCCATTTTAATGCACAGATTTTGGCCACGTGTCCTATTTGCCGAGTGTTTTTATCCTGGCACTCGGCAAAATGCCTCTTTGTCGAATGTGGCAAAGCGACTATATATTCTCTGTTTTTATCGTTCGGTCACGTATAACGTACCCCACTCAAATAAACATTACAAGCATCACACATAATTCACAATAACAATCACAGGCAGTTCATGTAGATATATTGACAACACATAAATGTAAATAAAATTCAGAATCACTAGTAGATTCATTCACAACCACAAATAGTCACAAGTAATATACTCGGCAAACTTATTTATTTGCGAGTGCTGAAAAATAACACTCGGCAAACTTATTTTTTTACCGAGTGCCACTAACGGATACTCGGCAAACTCCTAATGGCCGACACACTAGCTGACGGATGTCCTCGTGGCGGGTTTTTTTTGCCGAGTGTTTTTTCTTAGTTTGTCGAGTATTTTTTTCAGCACTCGGCAAAGAGTTTGTCTGCCGAGTGCTATTATTTTACCGAGTGTGTTTTTTGCAGCACTCGGCAAAGAGCTTGTTTGCCGAGTGTCCGATAGAATGCACTCGACAAATATTTTTGTACTCGACAAATCTGCTGTTTCCGTGAGTAGTAGCAGCTAGAGCTAGAAGGCAATCTTGCCGATGAGCGGTATGCCGATGGCGGTGACAACGAGCGTGGAGGGGACGCCGAACACGACGTGGCTCCAGAAGCTGAGGTCGTGGGCGTTGCGCGGCGCGCGGAGCGCCTGCTCGCACACGATCAGGTTCGCCGCCGACCCCAGGAGCGACAGGTTGCCCGCCACCGTGCTCACCCACGCCAGTAGCAGCCACGACCGGGTCACCGCCGACGCAGAGATCGTCGCCGCAGAAGCCGCCACCTCGTCCCCCATTAGCAGCACTGACATATATATGATATATATGTGATCAGGAGTTCAGGTCCACACAGTTATTTCATTATCAAAAGTGTCACGTACACGTCAAAACGTAACAACGTACTAATTATCAATATATCGTGTCAAAGGAAGTAACATTAGTGCTTAACGCGCTGGTGGTCACGACGACACACTTGAAAATAACAAGATAAGTAGATATTTGAATACTTTCACGCCTCCTTGTTAGTTGTTAAAAGAAAAGAAATCTTTAACCACAAAATATCTTAGCTATAGGAACCTTTGCCATCTTGCCCCGTACATACGCTTTAAGTTTCTTGCACTGTGTCATATATATGTGTATGTATATAAGTTAGGTCGTTATGTAGTGCACTGTACGCACACTAGCTAGCTAGCTATTGAACTTTTGGTGCTTTGGCAGTCATTGTTGCAATACGTGCAAAAAGCGTGTTTTATCACTTTAAATACGTGCTTTAATTTTATCAGTTGTGCTACAGTATGTACGTATTTACGCTTGCCTCCAAAAGCATGCATATGCATGTCCCAAAATATATGCGATCTGCTGCCCCCTTACCAGTTGGCACGTTGGAGGCGAGGTTGGAGAGGAGCAGGATGATGAGGGAGAGCACGGTGACGCCGCTGACGTGGTTGATCTTCGCGTAGGGCGCCATGAAGTTCCAGATGGCCCCGGGGAGCCCCGTCTTGTTGAACCCGCTCACAGTCACGAACATCCCCGAGAAGAAGACCAGCAGTGAGTAGGACACCTGCACACAACCCCTGCATGAGATGTGCATGCCCACCACGTGCCTAAGTAGTTCGTTGCATGCCGGGTTGCGTGAGCAACCGTACCTTGTCCAGGCACGGCTCGGCGTCGCGGAAGTCAACGACGACGAGCGCGATGGCGGTGGTAATGGCGGTCCACGACATGTTGAGGCCAAGCATGTAGGCCACGAGCATGCCGACGGTGACGACGTACGCGAAGCTCTTGAGGAACAGCTTACGCCGTTGCTCCGAGCACTGCATGAACCACCGGTGCTTTGTCGGGATGTTCTCCGACATCATCGAGTCCGGATCGTCATCCGCGTCGTGGCCGTGGCGCTGACGCAGAGCGCCGTGGGCGGCGGCGCTCGCGGTGGGGCTATTCTTGAGCGAGAGCACCGAGGCCGGCGACCGCCCCTCCTCGGCGGCCTCCATCTCCTTCCCAGCGGCGGCGGCCACCTCGTCGGCGCCCTCGAGGTCCTTCCAAAACATACAGAGCAGCATGACCGTGTTGACGCCCATCCCGGCGAGCATGGCCGGCAGGATGCCGAAGAAGAACTGGAGGAAGGTGATCTTGCTGTTGAAGGCGATCACCAGGTTCTGCGGGTTGCCGATGGGCGTGGCGCTGGACCCGATGTTGGCGCTCGTGGCGAGCGCCAGCAGGAAGGGCTTGGCGGGGAGGTTGCACTCGGCGGCGAGCTCCAGCACGAACTCGGTGAGCACGACGCAGCAGGTGTCGTTGGTGAAGAGCGCGCTGGCGAGCGCGGTGACGACGCAGACGCGGCACAGCAGGTCGCGCCCGCCCTGGCTCCGCCACGCCAGCAGCTTGCCCAGGTGCTTGAACATGCCGGCGCCCTTGAGGTAGCCGCCCACCACCATGGTGGCGAAGAGCAGGCCCAGAATCGGGAGGTCGATGGACGCGTACGCGTCGTCGGCGCTGATGACGTGGAACACGATCATGAGCACGGCGCCCAGCAGCGCCCCCGCCGTGCGCCCGATCGGCAGGAACGGCACCGAAGGGAACACCGCCAGCATCCAGAACACGCCGAATGCCAGCGAACCCATCACCACCTTGGGAAGAGGCGCCAGATGCGTCATGGCTGATCGATCGATCTCTCGCCTCGTTGCTCTCACTGCAACTACTCTCTCTGCTTTGAGTTTATTTGACGAAGCAGAGGGGTGGCTCGCCTGAGGTTTAAGTAGTGGCAGAGGAAGACCTTGCATGCGCCCCAGCTGACGTCAAATATCTCGGTGTGGGGGCTACCCCGTCTACAGAAGCAGCTCTAGTGTCCGAGGTCTGTTGGCACTCGAGATTTTTTTGTCTATAGCGGATCTTGATCCAACTGTGCCTACGGTGTCTTCAGATTCTAGCCATTTTCTTCTTCAATGCCCCGTTTCGTGTCCGGCTGAGCCACCTCGCCGCCACCGCTTCCACTGTTGCCTACGACTGCTTACACGCTAACCTGGTTTTGCCGGCTATCACTGTACGTGACGTCCTTGCCCTTACTTGGCCAAGCCATCTTCCTCCACTCCTCGGTTAGCGCCGACCGGCGTCACCGCCGGCTTGCCTCATCGTCGTCCATGCACCCGGCCCGTTGCTGGTTCAGTCTTCTGCATGCCCCTAGATTTAAGCCCATCAACAGTCTGTTCGCTTGGTTATATTTGGCTTATAAGCCATGGCTTATCAGCCAACGAATAATATTTTTCTCTCACATCAAACCAGCCAACAGTACTTTTAGCCATAGCTTATAAGCTAAACCAGCCCAAACGAACACGGCGCAAATTCCTCGCCAAACCCCAAATCCTAACTTGCCGGAGCTGTCGCCAGACACCAGGGTTGGAGGAGATAACCCTGCTATTCTCTAATCAGATGGATCAGATGTTTATTTAGGGCTCGTTCGGTTGGCAGGAAATCACTCCCTAGAACAATTTCTAGTCTGATTACTTGTCTAATTTGTATTGCCTTTGATCAGCTGAAACGTTTCACGGGGGAATTCGAGCTACCCGAACAAGCCCTTAGTCATGAATGAATCGGGTGGGAGAGAAATCAAATGTTGGATGTCACTAAAACAGTTTGAGTAGGGTATTGGCCCTTAAGGCAAAATGAATCATACCACATTGCAATGCCAATCAAATTTAACAAAACCACGATTTTCATATATGTATACATCATAAACCAAAAATATCACCGTTATCAACTGCTTTGCATACACACACACACGTAAGCATGCACTTCCTAAGCTAGGTAGCTTCTCACATCACGCGTGCTAAAACTACTACAAGTGGTATATCTCGCCGTCGGCATGCAAATGCAACCATCTACGTACCTCTATTCCATCACACTGTCAACCAGCACTACCACTAGTGGGGTACTCTATTTTACTTGTGGATAAACGTTAGCTTCAACATAACCAGTGTCGCTGTCAGCTCCGTAAGCAAGTGGCAACTGTGATCTGTGCTGTGCCCCTAGTGCAGAGTTAGCTAACTACCCTCCTGCCCAACTACCCTCCATGCCCACCAGCCATAGAATGAGTATGGGCAGGTGCCTACCAGACCGAGCTCAGCTGTTTTATCTTGCTTGCTTGTTGTGTTGCCTGAGACTGGAAGACTTCCTGCTGTAAGCATCAGCAAGCTGCTCATTGTGGAAACTACAACTCTTGTACAGCGACATTCTTAGTTAACCATACCTGTTCAACTGCGAATTTTGCCTTCAGCTGCAGCCTCCAGATCAAGACCCTTTCGCATTCTGCATTTTTCAGACAGTTGCCAGTTAGGGGACCTGATATAACTAACCTAATCTGCTTCCCTGTTGTTTCTAAAAAAAGTTCTGTATATATCTAATTTTGCCTGTCTTGCTCTCTATCGCAATATTTTCTGTCAATTTGTAAGCAGTCCAACTACAGACACTAATCCTCCAGTCCCTCACCTGTGCTGACTTGATAATATTGTAGGTTGAGGGCAAGATCATCAAGGCGCGGATCTGGGACACGGCAGGCCAAGAGAGGTACCGAGCAATCACAAGCGCCTACTACCGTGGGGCGCTTGGCGCGGTCCTGGTCTACGATGTGAGCAAGCCCACCACCTTCGAGAACATCAGTCGGTGGCTCAAGGAGCTACGCGACCACGCCGACTCCAACATCAGAATCATGCTCGTCGGCAACAAGACCGATCTGAGGCACCTCCGGGCTGTCGCCACTGATGACGCACAGAGCTTCGCCGAGGCAGAAGGTCTATCCTACATTAAGACGTCCTCGCTGGAGGCAACCAACGTGGAGGAGGCATTCCAGCTGATCCTGGGCGACATTTACCGGGCCATCAGCAAGAAGCCTGTGGCCTCAGATGAAGCCGGCCAGGGCGCTGCTGGAGGCGTCAAGGAAGGTAAGACCATCAATGTGGCGACGGGTGGTGGTGCCGCTGCTGAGAAGAAGCAATGCTGCTCAGCTTACAGCCCATGGTGATCTCGTTCAGTGGCGTATGTGTTGTTGTGATGGTTGTTTTTTCTTTTCTTTCAGTCCAAAGTTTATTGATTCATTTTGTCACATAGTACCTTCGTTGGACCTCATGTTCACATATATTCTCTAAAGCAAGCAGTTATATATGATTATACCATCACCAAGTCAATTGTCTTCTAGTACCAACAAGCCTACATATATTCTCTAATTGCATTCTTTAATTGAGATCTGCATTCCAAAATTCAAGCACAGAGTTGTCTGAAGACAGAGAGAAGCTCCGGCTGACAAAAAGATGAGGTAGATGACCTTAATCATCATGTTCAACAATCAAAATAACCAGCACTTTACACCGGTTATCATTCAATTAACTGCCAATTTAAAGATTGACTGATCACTGATGGTACAATTTGCTGGGATATACAAATGTGGCAATTAATGCTTACATGCAGAAGAACAAGCCAAAAAAGGGTGGTGGTGGAGCACGCGCGCACGTTGGACGCACGATGTCGGGTTTATAAACCCGGGGTTCCTCGGGGACCGGCTTCCAAACCAGGGCTCGGCCCAAGAAAACAGCATGTAGTTCATGGGCCGGTCCAAGAGTCTAAAACACAACGGGCCGGAAGGACAGTCCGGTCGCCGACCGGAAGGTCTACCCAAAGGAACGAACACCTGCTCGTCAACTTCTTCGGCCCACCTCTCTGACCGGAGCACTCGCTTCGGATGCCAGCCGCCTCCGGGCGGTCTATCCGATCGGAAGGCCTGGCCCGAAACGCTGCTTCCAACTCCGACCCCGCGTCTCCGACCGGGGACCCCGTAGGAAGCCTGCTTACCGCTCTTCTCCGACTGGCGCGGCCAGGGCCGACTGGAGCCATCCGACCGGGGACGCCCGCTCGGAAGGGACCAGGGGCGAACGGAGAAGGCAGCGCACAAGTCAAACCACGATACCAGGGCCATACCCTGTACGCCTGCGGGAACAATGCTCCACAACAGTCCTGACACAAACAGTATTGTAGGCGCCGACATTTATGTCTACAGTATTGTAGGCGCCGTTGGACTCCCGTACGGCGAAGAGCCCTCCACATGCCTCTGGGCATCGATAGTACTGTGGGCGCCAGGATTCACCATACCTGGTACACGTGGTAGCGCTCCTCACATACCAACAGTATTTTTACAGGTACCGACATCTACCCTTCCTAAAGAAGACAACGCAACCTCCCATGTGCACATGACATTCTACAGTGACATCAACAGTATTGTGGGTGCCTACCATCATCACTGTCCTCATCGACGTGGGCAACAAGGCTTAGTAACATCCGTACTCTCTCCCTCTCACCTGTAAAGCCATCCCCTTCATCTATAAAAGGGGATGCGCTCCCTCCAATGAAGAGGTCGACTTCTTCAAGTGGAGATTCACTAGATCGATAACTCACAACTCTTCAAGCACACGCTGAAACACCTAGCTCATAGCGGAGTTTCGGTTGCCCTCGGCCCTTCCGGTCGGACCCGACCAGGCCTCTCGTACACCTCACCTTTCTCCTTCTCGTTTGTAACCCCACTACAGACTTCGAGCACCTGGGCTCAGAAATAAAGTCATCGACCGACCCAAACTGGACGTAGGGCACGTTGCCTGAACCAGTATAAATCCGGTGTCATTGAGTGCTAGGCCACCTCCGATCACAACGTACAGCAAAACTATAAATATTCACTAGTTGGTCACTTTCGGTACCGACAGTTGGCGCCGTCCGTGGGGAAGATGTTGTACGTTCAACATTTTTTGGTCATCGGATGGCCCATTTTTCCACCACCACCGCCATGGCGGGCTCGGGCGATACGACTCGCTTTGGCTCGCTAGAATCTCCCGTACCCTCGCCTGCTGGGATGCGGGTTCCACCCGTTTTGAGCCATCCCAGGCCTTCCTCTTCGGAAGCCTGGACTTCGTCGCCGACCGGCTCGGCGTACTCCACCTCCGCGAGGAGACTCGCGACCCGGCACCCGTCGGAGAGACGTCCTCCATCGACTCCGGGACGCACGACTTCGACGGCGCGACATCTGCGCTTCATTCCGAGCAAACTCTCTGCTCAAACCCCACTGTAAGTAATACGCGTACTTTTATTCGCCCTTTATTTACTACCTCCCACCGATCATCCGGGGGGACTGCACCGCCTACACCACAAACACCATATGGTCGGTTCCCCTACGACCTCGCATCCTCCGCGGATGCTTATACTCAGGGGCTCCGAAGGGCGCTGGCACCATCCCCACTCATGTCCGAATTCATAGGAATGGCAGGCTTCGCTCCTGTCGTTTCCCATGAACTCCTGGATAACAAGGGCGAGAGCGATGGTTCCAGCATCGGTGATGTGGCGCCCCGCCACCATCCGTCCCGAGAATGCGCTATGGCGGACGGTCTAGGACAGCCGCCGGTGGTTGCGGAGTCCATGCAAACTCACGCCCCTCCGGACCCACGTGCGGAGGCCCTCGTGTATGTGCAAGCACACACCGAGGAATTACGATAACGGCGGCAGAGCCAGCCGCCGCCTGCGCCGGCACAATCGGTGCGGCACGTTGCGCCCCATGCGCATGGCCCGGTGGGTGGCGCCCGGGGTCGCGCTCGTCAGGTCCAGCACGACATCGTGCATGAGGGGAACGATGTCCCACAATTCGCCCGGGCCGGCCAGAATATTGCTGCTGCAGCAATGCTTCTACACGGTGTTCCCGAGCCCGTCGACCCCCAGGAGCGGGCAGTCTACCGGAACCTCCGGGTTCTAGTAGAGGCCACCGCCGTCCAACAGGCGGAAAGCTCCGCATCGTGACTCCGACCCGCGCCCTCTCTCCCCATCGGGGGGACAGGGACACGCCAGCCGGATCGCTCCGTTCGCTCGCCGCTGCAGCCGTCAGGCTCAGTTCAAGGTGCGGCAGCCGTGCCACGGTCCGACCGGGCGCCTGCTCCACACCGACCGCTGGTACGCGAGCGTCCTGATCCGCACCAAGACGCTCATAGCATCATCAGCGACCGGCATCGGGCCCGACACGATAACGATGTCCACCGTATGGTAGCAGGCGGCACGGATCCCGGCCAAACCATCGAGGGAAGTGGTGAAACGTGCCCCAGGCGCGGTCGCCGGCCGGACGACCGGAGCCCCAGCCCTGAGAGCCCGGGGCCATGGTCCTTTAGCTGGCGCATCCGGAGAGCACCGTTCCCACAGCGTTTCCGGCCTCTCTCCAACATCACCAAGTACACTGGGGAGACAAACCTAGGCATTTGGCTTGAAGACTTCCGGCTCGCCTGTCGAGCCGGAGGAGTGGATGATGACTATTTCATCATCCAATATCTTCCCATTTGCGTGGGGGAACATGTTCGGGCATGGCTTGAATTCCTTCCACACGATAGCATCCGCGACTGGGTAGACCTCAAGAGGGTCTTCGTCGGGAATTTCTAGGGGACGTACGTCCGCCCGGGAAACTCTTGGGACCTCAAGAGCTGTCAGCAGGAGCCTAGAGAGTCCCTGCGGGATTACATCCATAGGTTTTCTCAATGATGCAACTCCCTCCCTGATGTCATCGACGCAGACGTCATCATCCCATTCCTTTTTGGGACAAACTGCGAGTCCCTGATCCACAAGCTTGGCTACCTAAAACCCCGTACCACCCGTGATCTGCTCGACGTTGCCACCAACCACGCCTCTAGTGAGGAGGCGGTCGGAGCGGTCTTTAGCGGAGGCTAGGACAAAGGCAAGCCCAAGCACGCGGATCCGGACGAAGGCCCCTCCACTCAGAGGGTCAAGAAGAACAAGAAGGATCGGCACCGGACGGACAACAACGCGTTGGTCACCACGGCTGATCGCACACCCAGGCAGCCCCAATAGGGACTGCCTAACCACTTCAACAAACTCATGGATGGTCCATGCCCCAACAACGCCTACCCCGTCAAACACCTCTACAAGGAGTGCGAGCTCCTCAAACGTTCCTCCGACAGGCCGGCGGGTCAAAGGAGGGAGACGGCAAGGAGCTAGAAGCCAAGAGGGGAGGCGCGGCAGGCAAGGACAGAGACGGTTTCCCCAAACCTGAGGAGTGCATCATGATCTTCGGTGGGTCCGATGCCATCTAGACTAAACGCCAGCATAAGGTATGCTACAGGGAGGCATGAGCCACCGAGATGGCTGTCTCCTCCTTCCTCAGCTGGTTGGAGTCCCCAATCACCTTCGATCAGACGGACCATCCCTCCTACGTCGCAAGACCGGGACGCTACCCGCTCGTCGTCGACCCCATCATCCGCAAGAAGCGCCTCACCAAGGTGCTGATGGACGGGGGGAGCGGCCTCAACATCCTGTACATCGACACCCTCGATGCCATGCGCATCCCCCGATCGGAGCTCCTCCTGGCGGGCTACCCCTTCCACGGGGTAATCCTAGGAGCGCAGGCATACCCGCTCGGATAGATCGATCTGCCCGTCATGTTTGGCAAACGGGTCAACTTCTGCTATGAGGTCCTCACCTTCGAAGTGGTGGACTTTCCAGGGTTCTACCACGCCATCTTAGGGCGGCCATGCTACACAAGATTCATGGCGATCCCCAACTACACCTACCTCAAGCTGAAGATGCCGGGACCAAATGGCGTCATCACCATGAGTAGCGCCTTCTCGCACGCCTTCGCATGCGACCGCGAGCACTACGAGGTCGCCACCGTGGTCGTCAACTCATCCAAGCTCCTGTAACTCGGGGAGTCGTCAACCCCAGCAGTTTGCCCGCTCGAGGAAACCAAGGCGGTGGGTGTCGACCCCACCGACCCAGCCAAAACGGTGTGAATCGGGACCCAGCTCCTGGCCAAATAGGAATGCGAGCTCATCGACTTCCTGCGTGACAATCGCGATGTCTTTGCATGGTAGCCCTCTGACATGCCAGGGATACCAAGGGAGGTCATCGAGCACGCACTACGCCTTATCCCGGGCTCAAAGCCCGCCAAGCAACATCTGCGTCATTTCGACGACGAGAGGCGTAGGGCCATAG